GAACAGGCTACCTTGTGAATGAAATCTGTGAAATCACTTGTAGTTTCGTACTTGTGCTTTGTACCATTTTACACGGGCTTACAGGTCCTCCAAAAGAGAAACTTATCAGGTAACATGAGCGACCCCCCCCCCCTTGAGCCCAACAGCACCTCGGTGTTTTAGCAGTATAAAACATGTTGACCGTCACCATAAGAAATAGTCTCCCTTCAATCTGAGGGATACCAGGCCTGCCACTGTGCATTTCACCTCGGTAAACCACTCTTTTCTAATGTGGTGAGGAAAATGTGCACCAATGAGAACGTTGGCTGTCTCCGCCCACACGGTCAGCATGGCTAGCCCTCTTACTCAGCAGAGCATTTTTAGTATCATCTCGTTCAGTCGTTACTATTAGTGATTCACTATTTACTTAGTAGCCACAGTGAAACAAGGAAAATAGCAGAAAATCAAGAGACAAACATGAAGGACATGCTTTGATTGAGTTCCAGGCGCTGTTCGGCCAAGGAGGGGCATTTCAATCGCTGTCACACCATGACATGTGAACCATTGTCAAGTGTAAGCGGTGCTCCTGCAGTGGCAATACTGTGAGTATCACAGGAACTTACAGGCCTCCATAGAGACATCGGTACTGGTCGATGGGAGCTAGCGAAATGCCCCCACCAAGCGAACTGCGCCGATTTCCAATGTTCTTCTCGAACCTCTAATGGAACTTTCCTGGAAAAAGACATAACACTAAGGATGTTGTTCAGCTGTACGGCCGGATCGAGATCTGACAGGGAAGCAAAAAGTGCCTAGGATAAGGAAAAAGCCAATCGATGAAGAACTATTAAGTCATGTGGTAAGTCCCGCCTATGTAAACTCGTCCTCTGCCCATGAAAACTCGTCCTTTATTCAGCTTCGACTTCACGGAGATGACTGGTCAAGAAAGCTGAACAATGATACGCGGATATTGTTATTACAGTTGATGAACATCGAGGCAAAGGTCAGTGGGCAGAATTTGGTTTGATTTTTTCAAAAGTTTTTTTTCAAGTACGATGGAATTAAACGTGGAAATATTAAGGTTGTAAAAGGCGATAATAACATGAGCAACGCCTCCTCACAACAAACGAAAGATCCAAGGGCGATTTCTCTCAAGGAAATGTTCGAGCAGAAGCCGTCCATGGACGGAAGGCGCACAGAGGTACACTTTGTCTCTCCTTGGTTCAGTTACTTCCACGATTAGAAATTTCGAGCAATTCCAAGAAAAGACGGAGGGTTTGGGGAGAGGGAGAGAGGGCGGTGAGTCACGCGCCAGTGAGCCTTCGCCACGTCATGTCTAATTGTCTGGGTGCTCTCACCGAGTATGAAAACAACATCATTGATCATATCGTCACAGTCAGTCGGGGCGGTGTCAGGATGGGAGGAAGGGAGTAAGCTCGTTTCGGTCCCTTCTCATTAATAGTGATCGGTTAGTAGTCGATTAAGGAGGAGGGCAACCATTGGCAGGCAACGCCTTGGTGGGCTCATACCATGATTTCTGACACCGCCCCAATAATTACGTCGATCATCTGTAAACATTCAGAGGCTCTTGGAAGATGTGGCGGGACAAAACTGAGAAGAGGTTGTGTAGTCGCTTCTCCGTGATGTTTTCCAACAGCTGACGCGCGCGGTTGCGTCGCGGCCTTGGATATGTCAACATTGTAAACTTTCGTAAAGCTTTTGTCACCTGGCGTATTTTTTATCGCAGTGTTCCCTTATCGGAATGATCTGATCTAGCAGTTATGTCTTGCGTTGCGACCGTTCGCGGCCACTCATGTTGGGCGCGTCTTTTTTTGGGTTATGCGGCCTATCCTAATAAGGTCTTCTCACCCAAAGAAGGTTCAAGTGAAGTAAGCGGCGTCACTTTGAAGGAAGGCATCAGAAGGACCACTTGTGCAGAACTTAGGCTGCCGTAACGAAAGTGCGGATTCTCGCTGTACCTGAAGGGGGAGAAGCTCCGGAAACCAACCTAATGTGGAATGATTCATGGTGATCCCAGTTTTGTGCGAGGGGTCCTTTCCGATATTCCCCCCTCCCCTCCCCCTTCGAGGATATTAGCGCTGTAAGCATTCTAAAAATGTGAAAAATAGTTCATGACGTAAGATGACACATTTCCCAACATTTTCTGTATTCTGCCAGGTTTTCCATGCAGTAGGCTACTTGCGTAGCTTGCGGCTTATTATGGTAAACCAAGCATTAAAACTCAACTGTAACTCAGAATAGTAAACAAAAACAACTTAGAATAGTGATGACTTGTTAGGCGAGTTCCTACATTAGGAATCTAGTTTTTATTTTGCCTGAAAACTGGTTTCTGGGCGAAAAAAATCTATTTGTCCAACTTGCAAAAAACATTCTTATGGCATGGACCATAAAAAATGGCAGACAGAGTAGTCATAGTCTAAAAATTCCACCAGCGTTCGAAAAAGGAATATCAGTACTCGAGACGGGATACTTCCCATCTTCATAAATATACTCGAAATCCCTGAGATCGGGTAGGCGTGGCTGCGTACTTGATTTTAAAATGGCGGCGGCCCAGGTTTTCGTGAGATATTTTCATTTTGGAGCAGTCGTAATCATGTCTACATCTAACACAGAACAAGATAGCAGTTGTTTCAAATTGAAGTATCCCACGACCGTCCTATGCCATGCTCAAAAGCCACGCCTACTCTGTCTCAGGGATAAAAGGATAAAGGATAAAGTCTTCGCCGTTGATCAATCCCTTTGTGGGATGCGGCACGCATTCTACTTCCATTCAGAATCGTAGTGGCTTATTGAATGCGATGTGGCCTATACAATGACTTGCGGTGGCCAGCCGATGTACAAGTCAGTGTTTTATCCTCCCAGACGAATCTGGTACCAATTTACCGTCCCCGGAGGGTAGAAGGCTTGGTTGGCCTGGGCGGGAGTCGACCCGGGATTTGAACCCGGCGCCGCGCGAGTGGTAAGCGCGCCACTTGTCACTACACCACCTCCGCGCCGTCTCAGGGATAAGGAGTGTAAATAGTGCAGAATCAAATCCCAGAAGTTCTTATCTGGAACCCTGCTCTTGCCAACATTCAAGCGAGCTTTCCCAAAGTTTCACTGTTAGAAG